GATTACATTACTCTGCTCATACTATTCAGAGACTGCCAAGTCTTTCAATAAGTAGAGTCTTGACAAAAATAGAAGGAAAAAGAATGGATTACAAGTTAATAATTGGTTATTAATATAATAACATAATATTAATTTCCTTAACTTTTTACTCTGTCCCTTCTCAAAAGTCTGTTTTGCTTCTGACCACTGCCTTCCTTAATTCATCTCTCCCTTTTATCACCCCTCTCCCTTTTCCTCATCCCTTTCCCCTCCTACTTCTCTGTTGGGTAAATTATATATCTATGTTCAATTGAGTGTATATATGTTCTTTCCTCCTTGAACTTCATGAGAATGAAGTTCTAACATTTCACATCCCCCCATTTTTCCCATCCACTGTAAAACTCTTCTTTGCATGCCTCTTTTATGTTGGATAATTTCCCACATTTTTCCTCTCCTTTCCCACTTCTCCCAAGGCATCCCTCTTTATCACCCTTTCATTATTTTTTAAGATCATCCCCACATAATCGACTCACACCCATGCCCTCTATGTAGACTCTTCCTAACTGTCCTAATAATGATAAAGTTCTTAGGAGTTACATGAATTACCTTCCCATTCAGGAATGTAAACAGTTGAACCTCATTGAATCCCTTATGCTTTCTCTTTCATGTTTACCTTTTCATGCTTCTCTTGAGTCTTGTGTTTGAATATCAAATTTTCTATTCAGCTCTGGTCTTTACATCAGGAATGGTTGAAAGTCCTCTACAACATTGTTGTCATTGTTTAGTCATTTTTCAGTCTTTTGGGGGATTTTCTTAGCAAAGATACTGTAATGGTTTGCTATTTCTTTCTCTAGCTCATTTTACAGATGAAGAAACTGAGGCAAATAAGGTGAAGTGACTTGCCCAGGGTCACACAGCTAACAAATGTCTGAAGACGCATTTCAACTCCAGAAGAGAAGTCTTCCTGACTCCTGGGCCAGCACTCTATCCACTGCACCACCTAGCTGCCTCCTCTGTTTCATTAAATTTCCATTTTTCTCCCTGAAGGATTGAATTTAGTTTTGCTGGGTAGGTTATTCTTGGTTATAATCTTGGCTCTTTTGCCTTCCAAAATGTCATATTCCAAACCCTCTGCTCCTTTAATGTGAAGGCTGTTAAATCTTGTGTGATCCTGACTGTGGCTCCACGATATCTGAATTGTTTCTTTCTGGTTGCTTGCAGTATTTTCTCTTTGACCTGAAGGCTCTGGAATTTGGCCATAATATTCCTGGAAGTTTTCATTTGGGGATCTCTTTAGGAAGTGATAGATGAATTCTTCCAATTTCTATATTATCCTCTGATCTAAGATATTATAATTTCTTAAAATGTAATATCTAGGCTTTTTTTTTAAACCACAGCTTTCAGGTAATTCAATAATTCTTACATTATCTCTTTATTTTCCAGGTCAGTATTTTTCCAATGAGATATTTCACATTTTCTTCCATTTTTTTTTATTTTTGGACTTTGTTTTATTGTGTCTTAATGTCTTATAGAGTCATTAACTTCCACTTGCCCATTTCTAATTTTCAAGGAATTATTTTCTTCAGTCAGCTTTATCTCTTTTTCCATTTGTCCAATTCTGTTTTTTTTTAATTATTATTATTTAAGGCAATTGGGGTTGTGACTTGCCTAGGGTCACACAGATAGTGTCAAGTGTTTGGTCTCAGGCCAGATTTGAACTCAGGTCCTCCTGACTTCAGGGCTGGTGCTCTGTCTACTACACCACCTAGCTGCCCCCCAATTCTGCTTTTTAAAGAGTTCTTTTCTTCAGTGAATTTTTGTTCCTCTTTTACCATTAGGCCAATTTTGGTTTTTTAAGGTGACATTTTGTATTTTTTGTGCCTCTTCTACCAAGCTGTTCTCTTTTCAAAATTTTCTTGCATCACTCTCATTTCTTTACCCAATTTTTCCTCTGCCACTCTTATCTCTTTCTTTAACTCTTCTAGGTTGGGCTTATGCCCCATAAGCACTTTTCTTTCAGGCTTTGCTTATAACTGTTTCACATTGTTGTCTTCTTCTGAGTTTTCATGTTGGTCTTCCCTATCAGCATAGTAGCTTTTTATGGTCAAGTTCTTTTGTTGTTGTTTGCTCATTTCCCAAGCCTATTTCTTGACTTTGAATTTAATGTTAAAATTGGAGTCTGCTCATCGGAGGGGGTGGGAAGGCACTGTCCCAAACTTCAGGTTTATTTGTGCTGCTGTTTTCTGAAATAGTTCTGGGGGGTCTGTAAGTTTTTGGTGCTTCCAAGGTGGTGTGATCCTGGAAGGGGTGTGGTCACTGTTCTCCTGGCCTGTGTTCTGGTCTTTACCTAGGAAGGGCCCCTGCTCCCTTGAAGCCAGTCCTTATGTTCCTCTCTGCCATGGAACTGCTGCCAGGGCCCCTGCTCCTTTTTGACCAATCACAAGCATTCTCATCTGCCCTGGAACTATAACCCTGAACTGTGTATGGGATATGCAACAGGATCCTGAGACTGGTGTTAGCTCAGGATCCCCTCTATTTCTTTCTGTTCAGTCATCCTTACCATCTCTGGGCTGAGAGCTCCCAAAGCTGCTGCCACCCAGGATGTGATTTTCAGGATCAGACTAAACTTCTGATTGCTGTTTCTCAATGGGGAAAGGGAGGACCCAATTTTTTTTTTATCCAAGGCTTGACCTCTTTCCCACAAAATACTATTTCCACAATAGACACACATAGAAGGTAGCAAAGACATCTGTTTATCCAAACTGATAGCAAAACAAAAACCAGAGAAAGAATACAGAGGAGAATATATACCAGACAACACAGAGTGAAGGAATTCTCCCATTGGGAACAACATGACAGAGAGAGAGAGAGAGAAAGAGAAAGAAAGAGAGAGAGAGAGAGAGAGAGAGAGAGAGAGAGAGAGAGAGAGAGAGAGAGAGAGAGAGAGAGCTGGGAATAAGGATATGAAGGAGACTGCTAGTTTCTCTTATGCCAATTTTTTCACAGAGAATAATTCTCCCTTTAGTAACCTGAAGTGAGATTTGACATCATCCATCTTTTCTCTCAAAGCTGAAAGCAGAAGTGTCTAAAGGAACTACAGAACCTGAAGAGATTGAAGAACCCAAAGAAACTATAGAAACTCAAGAGTCAGGAGCTCTTTTCTCTCCTACTCTTGCCAACTCCTCCCCGAACCTCACAAAGGTATGGGGAAGTAACTTCCACCAATGAAAAGAGAGTCCCACGTCAATGGGCTGTGGGACTTCTGTTACATTCTCTCCCATTTCTCTACCTCCCACTCCCATTGAGAAAGGGAAAAAACAAACAAACCTGTTAGGTTCCCCAGTAGCTTGTGTTTTGGTTTTGCCCTAATTTTATCGGACATTTATATTTACCTGCTTTGCTTACATCTAGCATACATCTCAAGCAACCTTACCTAGAAATTGCCCTTTTCTGGAAAATCATCTAACTGCTTACATACCAGCCAATCAGCTGCTTGTCCTTTGACCTTTTTGAATGCTATATAATGTGAGACTTAAGAGAGATTAGAAAGGTATCCAAACTTTTTCCTGGCTATCTCTTCTGCTGAACCAACTTAACAAAATTCTCTTAAAAAGCCCTTTTGGATTTAGGGTTTGTTTTCGACCAACAGAGTTCTTAAGTCTTTTGAGTTGTTTGTCTTTAGAAAATGGTTATTATATAAATTGTTCTCTTGCTTCTGCTAATTTCACCTCATGTTAGTTCACTCATGTCTTACTGGGTTTCTCTGAAATCAGTCTCTTCTTCATTTCTTTCAACAGAACAACAGTATTTCATCACATTCATAATCATAACTTATTTAGCCATTCCCCAATTGATGGGCACCCCCTCTGTTTCTAACTCTTTGCCATTTCAAAGAATATATACCAGACAATACAGAGTGACAGAATTCTCCCACTGGGAGCAAGATAAATAAATACTCTAATGAAAATTATTTACTGACTTATTCAAGTAAATGCTGACTTATTCAAAGTAAAATAGGTGTAGCAACTGTGGCTGTTTCTACCAATTTTTTAAGTAATACAGAGACAGTCCTGAACCCAGAAGAGGGAACATCTGTGCCTACTTGTTGGCTGAAACACTAGATACTGGGGCCTGTTAATCAAAAACATGAGAGAAGCCCCTTAACTTTTGCTTATTGTGAAATAAACTAATGTGTAGCTTAATATGTATGACTACAGAGGGGAAAAAACTCCATTTAGACTGTGGTAACATGAGCAATTAGCTCTAAACAAGCTGAATAACTGCTCCTCAATAAGTACATAGCTTATGTTAAGAAGTTTAGCTACTCAGGTATATCTGTACGGGGGACATAAGTTTTTCTATTGGGTCAGGCTTAGTGGCAGCAGGTACCAACTATACCTTCTAAAACCTTGTGTTTCTCATCTTTTACTGAGACTTTTCTGAACCTCAGGGATAAATAAACATGCATTAAGTTTGAACTTTTCCTACCTCTTCTGAAAAAAAAAGTGGAGGTGATGGGGAATGAGATTCAATCTGAACCCCTAACAGGAAAAGACCATGTCTTTGAAAGCAACCCAGTCCCTGAATTTTCCCATTCATTTCAGCAGCCCAGATCACAGGTGTCTCTGCCCAAGGCATCAGGCACACCCCAGCCCACCTGGATTACTTAATCAGTTTACTTAACACTCCCTAAACCCACCCAGGCCCCTTTAGGTGTTCTCTCCAGACTACCTCAAACTACTTGCCACTCCTTGATCCCATCCACATTTTCTCACAGTCTTTTTTTGCATAATTGTATCAATTTGATCCTTACGAATTTGCAGATTCTTAAAATCTGGCCCTCTTGTCATTGGCGTCACTAATAGTGAAGACTCACCCAGTCTCAATAAACTAGCTACTTGGACTGAAAGAAGGTTTGAATACTTTCGAGGCAGTCTCTCACCCTGTACCCTTATATTTTGGGGTTTCCAACACCCCTAGACAGAAACAGAGGTAGATCTTGAGTTGACACTGAAACTTACACTTTTTCTGTGCTACCAAAGCGCTGTATTTTGATTTTCATCCAGACTTGTGATTTCATTGGAGGAAATAAATATACTGTGCACAGGTAGGAAATTAGTCTTAATGCTTAGTTGCACTGATACTCAAGTGATTTTCCCAAGGTCGCCAGGTTAAAGAGTGTCAGAAGTGGGACTTAGTTATTAAGCCCAAGTCTTTCAGCTTTAAAGCACAGACAATCCATGCCCGAGGCCTAGTTGCTAGAAGCCACAGATTTCTTCTGCGCTGGAAAAACGGGATACAAGGAAGACAAAAATTGGCCGTGTCCTCGGGAAATTCTAATTATAACGGGGCAGACCACAAGCAAATAACTTCGGGAAAGCCAGGCAATTTTCAGTTACTAATAGGGCAGCCCACAGACCTTCTAGAGAACAAAAGCGTGCTGCCTATTTGGCCCCGGAGTAGACCAGCGAGCCTGGGTGACTCCAAGGGCATTCGAGGTCCAGTTCGCAGACCCCCCTGCTGCGCGCCAGTGCCATTGGCGGAGTCACACCAGGGTCAGGATTCCGACCAGAAAGAAGGAGCGCCAGACCTGCCGCAGAGGGGGCAGAGCACAGTATCGGGAACAAAAGGGACTGGGCGGATTGGCTCGGAGAAGCTCTAGCTTCGACCCAGACCTCCCGGCCCCGCAAAGGGGAGGAGCCCTGGGCGGCCAGATCCGGACTGGGAGGAATTCCGAGGAAGGGTTGGAGAGGCAGGTTTCGCCCGTCCTTCCTCAGCTGAATTTCTACACTGTGTGGCCCCTCCCCGCGCGCTGCCATAGTGACTAGACCAGCCCAAGCCAAGGTGGATTGGAGGAGGTAAGCACAAGCTTCCTTCCGGAGCCGCCGGGGTGGAAAGGAGGCTGGGCAGTAACGTCACCCCGTCCCACTTTCCTCCGTTCCCTCCCCGCACTGTGACGTAGGCCTAGAGGAATAAAGCGTAAACAGCGCTAGGCATTGTGGGAGCGGGATTGTCTCACGCAGGAAGCCAGGCTCCATTTTAGCGCCGCCCGCAGCCGCCATCTGTTTCCCCTCCCTTTCCCCTCCCCTTTTCCCCTCCCGGCCTGGAGCCCCAAGGAGAAGGCAGCGGCTGAGGCCCTTAGGAAAAAAAAAAAAAAGCGAGAGGAGGTGAGGAGAGAGGCAGGGGCTAAAAGAGAAGTCGGCCGCGGGCTCTGGGGGCTTAGGTGGCGGTAGAGGCCCGGGTCTCGGAGGGCGGCAGGCGGGAGGGCGGACGGACGGGCGCGCGCGGCCGCAGCGGCCGCGCGGACAGCGCTCAGGCGGCGGCAGCTGGAGAAGAAGGAGAAGGAGGAGCTGCATCCTAGGGACAATGGCGGCCGACAGCCGGGAGGAGAAAGGTGAGTGCGGAGGAAGGGGGACGGCGCTTGGAAAGGGGGAGGGGGGCATGTCGGGAAGGAGCGGAGGCCCTGGTGGGTTCGCCCCGGCCGTGAATGCCCTCGTCGTTCCAGAAGGGGTGGGGGTTTCTTCTCTCGGGGAACTCTGCCCCCACCCCGCGACTCCCAGTCTAATGGGAGAACAGGCCTACCAGCCCTCGTTCGGCGTGGCCTCTTTTAATCAATGTCTCTTCCATTTAGACCTTCCTTCCCCTTTCTCCCTTCTAGGCCCTTATGCGCCATGAGCAGTTTTTGCTCTATTTTTGCCTGGGGTGGGATTGGAGAAAGAAAGGACGGGTTAGATGATTTTACTGCGTTCCAGTGGAGGCCCTTAGGTCTACTTTTAGGGTAGGCCTACTGCGTAGATTCTCTGCCTGACCTTTCTTTTTCATCCTCCCCTTCATCCGCCCAGATTTCCCCATTCCTTCGTTAAAAAGCGGATTATAAAGACCTTGGTTGTGCCAGGGAAATTCTTCAAAAGGATTGTCAAATTTATTTGAATACATACCTCTGTCTAGAGTATTCTAAGTAAACGGGGATGTGGCAGGATTTGTTGCTTTTTTATTTCATTAATGGTTATTTCTCTAGATATAACTATGGGCGAATCTTCTCTATACATACACACACATATATGTCATACACAAATACTCAGGTATTGTAGTTATATTCGGTGGTGGCTTTTTTCAGCCTAGTGATTTTCGTGATTTAAAAGATACTTTCCCCCCATTTCATTGTCAGCCAAAAAATTGCCTAGATTTGCAAGGATATGGTACATACAAAGTTTAGGTTTTTAGAATTCCTTTTCTTTCACCACAACTCTTGTTTTGCTTTTTTGGTATCTATTGAATTATAAACTTACAGTTGGAAGGAAATTTGTAGTCATCTAGGCCAACACCCTCATTTTACAGATAAGAAAATTGAAACGCAGAAAATTTAAGTGACTTACTTTCAAAAGGCCAGGTAGCTAGTGAGTGACAGGGCAGTCATTTGAACCCAGATCCTCTGACTAAATCTAGCTATCTTCCTTTGCACCTTTGACTTTTCTTATTTTTGATTGTTTTTGAGGGATGGGGTAGGAGACTAACTTCTTTTTTTGAAAATACAGACAATGTGGTGTAGTAGAATAAACACTGGATTTGTAGTCAAAAGACCTGGCTGGGTTTATATCTAGTCTTTGCTACCTGTAAGGTACAGAGCAAATCATCTAGCAAATCTGTTTGCTCTTCTGCAAGAGGCAGGTAGGTGGCTCAGTGCTGGGCTTGAAGTCAGGAAGATCTGAATTCAAATATGGCCTCAGACACTTAATAGCTTGTGTGACCCTGAGCAAGTCACTTAACCTCCATTTGCCTCAATTTCTTCAACTATAAAATAGTAATAGTACCAACCTCCCAGGATTGTTGTTGAGGATCAGATGAGATAACAGTTATAAAATGTCTGGCATATAATAGACCCTACATACATGTTTATTCCCTTTCCCTTCCTCTTACCCTTTGTCTTGTAGGTAATGGGATCTCCCTTGGCTTCTTGCTACTGTACTTTTCCTAATTACCTTCTTACTGCATCTGTGGAGCTTTCTCTGCTCTCTCTTTTCTGACAGTGGGTGTCCCTTAAGGCTCTGTTTTCTACCCTTTGCTTCCCTCTTTAAACATTTCCCCAGGAGAGCTCATCTAATCATATGGTTTCAACTGTTTGAGTTGTGCTGAGGACTCCTAAGTCTACATCTGTCTCTGGTACCCTTTTTTAAATTTTGATGCCTTGCCTCAATTCTCTTGGAGTATTATTCATTATTGACAGAGGTACCATTATTTTTCAAGTGTCTCAGACTAAAAATCTTGACTTTTCTGTCTTTTCTTCATCAAATCTCTTACCATGACTATGTCCTTATTTACAAATCCTGCTGCCACAATGCCCTTTTCACTTTAATTCTTGGAGTTTTGTAACTACCTGTAGACCTGTTGGACTACCTGGGTTCCTTGACTGCAGTCTCTACCTCTAACAACTGCTACTAGAGTAATCTCCATGAAAAAAAAATTTTAATATTGTCACTCCCCAGCATTAAAAAAAAATTAAATGTTCAAGACTTCTATTATGTTCCTCTCCCCCAGACTATCTAATCTTATCTTGTTGCTACCTAACAAGAACCCCCTAGAGTCTCCTTTTGTCTCTCATAACGTTATGATTATCATTTCTGTGCCTTTTACTCATGTTCTCCAGCCTAAAATAATATTTTCCTTCCCCCTCATTTATCTAAATCTTAGGCATCCTTCAGGCCCAACTTCTAGTTCTACTTTCATTCAGCTTTATTTGATTACTCCTGCAGGCCCCCCCCAATCCTCCTTGATTTACTCTTTCCTTTAATTCCAATAGCACTTCCTAATGTAATGACATCTACTTTCAGTTTTTCTTGTTTATTAGCCTCATTCCCGACTATATTTCTTGAAAGCAAAGCTTATATCTCCAACACAATGCCTGATATAGTCAGTAACTATTCTTAAAACTTGGAGTCCATGAATTTGATTATTTTTCAACATTCTGATAATTATTTCAACGTAATTGATTTTCTTTCTAATCCTGTTTATTTTATTTTTTGCATTTTATCCTGAAGAGTCTATAGGTTATTCTAGACTACCATTTCATACACAAAAAAAGTTAAATCTTTGTAGCAACCTTTCTCAAACTAGTTTTGGCCACTTTGGTGCTTGAAATAAATTATCCAAACCTGTAAATTACTCAGCAAGAAAGAATTTTGGAGCAAAAGAAACAATTTTGACGTAAAAACTAGCCTTGCCATTTAGAGTGCATCACCACCACTATCCCTCACTCTCCACATAAACTGGGAATGTAGAGCACCATTTGATAAACACTGGTTCATTTTGGGAAGATATGCCTAAAGTTTTAAAAAAAAAGCTAGATGATTTTTGTTAATGGGGTGCAATTTAGGTGGCCTTTGGATTTTTCTTTCTTCATTGTTTTCTGAGATTGTGAATCTCAGGTCATTTCATTATTTAAAACTTTCTTAAATTTCATTGCTCCCATTTGATACAGAATTAAAAAGCCAGAAAAGGAGTTTGGACATGGAAATGATATTGTACTTATAAATGAAAGAGGCAGCTTAGCACAGTGGACAGCAGACCTCTATCCAAGATCCCTGTCGCGTAAATTAACCAAATGGGCCCGTCATTTAACTTTTCTTTTTGATCTTTTTTTTTTTAAAGTGAGGCAATTGGGGTTAAGTGACTTGCCCAGAGTCACACAGCTAGGAAGTATTATGTGTGTGAGGCCGGATTTGAACTCACGTCCTCCTAACTCGAGGGCTGGTGCTCTATCCACTGGGCCACCTAGCTGCCCCCAAGTCATTTAACTTTTCAATGCACTAGTAACCCTGTGACTGTAAGTTACAAATTAGTTGCTAAGCCATATTGGAGGCTGGAAATACTCATAGCTAAAATTTCAGGTTCTTACCAAAAGAATATAAAGCAGAGACTGCCTTTAAGTACTGTTAATTCAGCTCAATAACTATATGGGGAGGAAATGATTATAATTGAAATATGAATTGAATTTTGTACAGTCAGAAGTTTTAAATATGAAGAGAAAAAGCAAATTTCTGGGTTATAGTCCTGAATTTAGAAACAGGAAAGATGGATTTAGTACCCAGGCGTCTGACATTTAGTTTTGTGATTGTGGGGCAAGGCAAAACCTCCTAGTTTCCAGTTTTCATCTCCTGAAAGTGGGGATAGTTGTGCTTGCACAACCTCACATGGTTATTGTGAATATTAAACTAGATAATGTGTATGAAGCACTTTCAGCTCTTATTTTGACAGAGAGAGAGAGAGAGAGAGAGAGAGTGTGTGTGTGTGTGTGTGTGTGTGTGTGTGAAGGGTAAAAGAAAATAGCAAGGAGAAATTCATGGAGAGTCATAATTGATTATTGGACATGGTATTGATGCCACTCTCAGTAGTCTAATTGATCAGTCTTTGAAAACTGACAAGATTTTTTGTCCCAGAGACTTATGGTTTCTCAGCTTAGTTTGTCTGCCTGTATTTCCCCTACATAGATTTTTTTTTCTTAATTGACTAATGTTTATAGGCCCCCAGAAGAGCCAGTGACTTAAGTATAGCTTTTACTAGATTCTTGGCCCTTTAAAGCTAGGAGACACCTTTACTTTACAGATCAGGAAACTGAGGCAAAATATAATTAAGTAACTAGTTTGGAGTTGGTTAATGTCAGAGAGAGTTAAAACTCCAAATTCCTGAGTATGTCCAATGATATTTTCAGTGTGTCATGTTTGATAGCTGTTTTACTTTCAAGTTATTGAATTCAGTAAACCCTTTGATCATCTTAAAGATCCATCACAAACTTTAAAAAAAAGAACCTCATAGTATAAAATTGTGTAGAGTAAATACTATAATGCAACTGATTTTTTTGTTTAATTCCGTGTAATCAAACTCTCAGAAGGTACTGGAGCTCTATTTAGATAGAACTATGTTTATCAGCTTTGTGTTAAT